GCGGATGATCAGATAATTGTAAACAACGAAAAAAGAAGCGATCAGATAGATATTGTCTTCTTAAAACCAAAGGTGGATCACCGACTTCGAGCTGTAAAGCATTGATTGGACTTGATTTCATTGCTCCAGAGATAATCCTCAAGGCCTTTGATTGAATTAAATCCAATTTCTTAAAAGCAAATGAACTTCCTGGAGCTAACAAAAAAGTTCCATAATCAATGACACTCCTTATAAGACCATTATAAGCAAGTTTTAGTGAAACGGGATGTGCTCCCCACCAAACTCCAGCAAGGCACCTAAGAATGTTGAGGTTACGCTCACATTTCGTAGAAATATAATTACAGTGGGACAGACCTGTTAATTTATTATCTAGCACGATACCTAAAAATTTAATTTCAGTCTTTATAGGAATGTATGAGTTATCATAAAGCACCTTAATTTGTTGCGGTGATCTCATTCTTGAAAACAAAACTACACTACTCTTGGTTACAGAAAGATTAAGACCATTTGCATCTAACCACGTTTTTAACAAATCTAATGAATCAGATAATTTGGCAGAAGCAGATTCTATGGACTTCGCAATAAAATATAATAAAAGATCATCAGCATATTGTAAAATTTTGACGGATTTATCAAGGAATAATTCTAGATCGTATGTGTATATGTTAAATAAGATTGGACTGAGAACAGATCCTTGTGGAAGGCCTTTCCATACTGTTCTAGATAATTTGGTATCTTCATCTAGATCCATATGTATTGTTCTTTCTGATAAAATATTAATAATGAAATTAGAAAGCATTACCGGTACATTTAAAGCTTGTAATTTAGTTTTTAAAATAGAAATTATTACATTATCATAGGCAGAATTTATATCTAAAAAGGCTGAGAGGATTGACAAATTTTGTGAGAAAGCTATATGAATATCTGAAATAAGAACGCTCACATTATCTAAGGTGCTCTTACCTTTCCTAAAACCAAACTGGTTCGGGGATAGTAAGTTATTACTTTCTAAAAACCATTCTAGACGGTTCTTCACTAAATGTTCAGCCAGCTTTAGTAAGACAGAGGAAAATGCAACAGGACGGTATGAAGATGGTTCAGAAGGTGGTTTATGAGGCTTTAGAAATGGTATAATAATCTGAGACTTCCATGAAGTAGGTATATTTCCCGAAATAATTATGGAATTAATTATATTTAAAAAGTAAATTAATGTCGCATCGCTAGCATTTTTAAAAAAGGAATACGGTATACCGTCTTCTCCCGGTGCAGAGTCTTTAATACAAGCTAGAACACCTTTAAGTTCTACAAGAGTAAAAGGAGACTCAAGTTCGGATAATTCGTCAGAGACGGATAGAGAAATATTGTAAAGGCATTCCGGCACATAACTAGGAGCAAGGCGATCTAAAAATTTATTCGCTAAAGTTAAATCGAGTGCAGAACGTGATGTATGATCACTGAAGGCAGATCTGAATCTTTTAATATTATTCCAAACGACTGATGAATTAACTTCTGGACAGATAGAAGAACAAAATCTTCTCCAGCCTTCTAATTTCTTTTTTTTCAGTAGTTTTCGAGTAGAACGTGAAACTGCGGTGTAAATTTCAAAATTTTCTGGTGTCATGTAATTATTATAATTTTTTTCAGCCTCTTTACGATTTTTAATTGCTTCCGTACAAGGTGGCGAGGGAATTTTCCCTGAAGCACTATTTTTAACAGGAAATAATAAATCAGCAACCTCCTTCATATTTATCATCAAGTCATTACAACATTGATGTTCATTTCCATGGTAAACAATAGGTAACTCCGATATTTTATTATCTAAATATTGTTTGTAAATATTCCAGTCTACATTTGATAAATTATATTTAAGCCGAGGACCACTCTTTCGACTTGAGGGAATGGAAATTGGAAAAGAAAGAATGAGGGGAAAGTGATCGCTTCCGAAAGTAGAGGAATGAGGATACCACGACAGTGAAGAAGCTAAATCAGAAGAACATATTGAAATGTCAGGAGCACTAAACCCTTCATTCGGTGCAGTTCTACGTGTTGGTACATCTGAGTTAATAATACATAAGTTGTAAGTGTCAATTATCGTCAGGAGTTTTCCACCATAAAAATTAGAAGTAGAACTGCCCCACGATTGGTGTTGAGCATTAAAATCGCCCATTACGAGAAAAGGTTTAGGTAAAATTGAAAATAATTGTTCTAGTTGTGAATATATTTGGCATGTAGGATCAGGAATATATAAAGTAACAAAACAGATACCATTTATAATTATAGCAGCTGCATTAATGCCGCTATATACAGGAAGCGAAAAAGAAGAAAAAGGAAGGGAGTTTTTGACCAATATGGCAACACCGCCATATCCGTCAGCTCTATCATCACGGAGACTTGTAAAGCCTGAAATCCTAAAAGGATATCCTGGCTTTAACCAAGTCTCTTGGAGAGCTATTATAAAAGGATTATATTTATTAATCAAATAAAATAAGTCTGATTTCTTGTTTGTTATGCTACGACAGTTCCACTGAATTATTAGGACTTTGTAATCCATTGTGAGAAGTTAATAATTGAGAAAATACATTGTAAATGGCATCGTTGGACGGTGGTAAAGTTGTTTGTATCATTTTCGATTGCGATAACACTTTAATAAGCATGAGAATAATATCAAAGATGGATTGATTATTGTCAATATTATTTGATGATAATGCACAACCATTAGAGGGAGCAGGAATATTATATTCCTTAACTATGGCTTCATGGGCAGAACGATCATATCCTTGTTGTGCTTTTTGAGGAGAGCGTGGTTTAAGTGTAACTGTTTTTTTATGTGATGATTGAATATGTGGTAATGATGATTTCTCTTTGAGGAAAGAAGATTGAAAATGAGATTTATTGGACGGAGATGATGATGTTAATACATCTGAATATAGTTTAGAAGTGGGAGGATGAAATTTTGATGCTTCAGCATAAGAAACACAACTGTGGGCCATTGTTTCTTTAATGGCTTTCTGACGTGCATATTCAGGACATTTCTTACTAATTGCTGAATGAGAACCATTACACAAGATACAAGAAACATTTTCCTCATCTACTTCACATTTATCACCTGTATGATTTTGCCTGCATTTATAACACCGAGGATTTGAACGACACTGCATCTTGACATGTCCGAACCTACAGCAGTTATAGCATTGGATAGTGGGGTAAATGTACAAATCTACAGTTAATGATGTGTAAAACATAAATACTCTTTTTGGTAATATTTGTCCATCAAAAGTAATAACAATGGTTTCAGTATTAATAAAACTTGGTTGTCCTTCATTAATGGTCTTTTTCTTAATTCTTCTGGTTTTTAGAATTCTCCCACAACCTATAGGTACTGATATATTTTGGATTACTTCCTCTTCTGTCCAATCTTTAGGAATACCCCTCACAATTCCCATACGGGTTACATGGAAAGAAGGTATAAATGCCTTAAAATTATGTATTTCTAAGTGACTATTATTTAAAAATGCATTTGCATTTTCAAAATTTGAGAAAGAAAGCGATAAACGGTTTCTTCCTATTCTTTTGAGGCTACCATTCACTATATTATTTATCTTATTAGTGTGTAAAAAGCGACCAAATGCAATAGGATGTAATGTAGTGTTATCATTAGGATGTGTTTCATTTTTTTGTACATGAACGACATAAGGAGCTACATCCTTGGCATTGTACAAAGTTCTGCTTAAAGTACTGGGTGGAGAAGCAGGTTTAACAGACTCGGTATTATTTACAACTGGTATTGATACTAGAGTTTGATTCTCATCCTCAATACATTGACAATCACTATCTTTAATTTTAGATTCGAGACCTTTGGTGTGCCTCCTTCGTTTTTTATTGCAATGTTTGCAAATGCGACGTTCGCCACGTACTCGCTTACGTTTAGAACTTGCAACGCTAGAACCATCTGTGTCCATACTAGATTCACCCAATATATCAAAACTATTATTAAATGGGATAGTTATATTTGCAGACACCTGGGGGGTTGTCCCCCCAGGGTCTATAGGTGGATCCATAATGTCTAATTAATATAGGTAATTTACTTACCAATATTTACAGCAACAAACACTATTACTACAAAATATACAATTATATATACAATCTAATACACAATATATAAATAAAACTAATCCTTATATAATTAAAAATAAAATTAATTTAAAGAAGATCAAAAAACACTCCCGCTTTTTTAAACGTTTCCCGCGCTTTTCGACCCTGTTTTTTCTTTACGATTGAAATTACCTTCCAAATGGACGATAGTATCTTTAAAAATAACTATTTAAAAATGCTGAAATTTATGTGTACTTGAATAAAAATTATTACTTCCATAAAACAGAAGTATAGTCTGTTTCTGTAGAACTCACAAAAATTAAACTAATAGACCGAATGAAAAGGCAATTGGCCATTTTATATATAATAATAAAAATATGTTATATATAATTTGTAATAGTATTTGTATCGTATCAGCGGTTAACTGTCCACTGCCCAACACAAGCCTCTCCATATTGGGGGATTTTGCCAATAGTTGCCACACTTGGCAAGCAGATTGGCAACCGCAGTTGGACTTTGGTGATATTTTAAGAAGGACACTGTTGACTATCTCTCGATTATTAACTTCAGTTGGTTGCCTCTTATGACACACATTGGAAAAGAAAGGACGGGCCATCCTTAGCAAAAAAAAAAAAGCAATTGAAAGATTTAATATTTCTGTAATAATGTTAACAAAACTATTACTCTTTCATTAAGTTATTTTAAAATACATTACTGACACCTCTCAGAATTCAATAAATATTTTTTATATTTACTATAAAAATATTAATTAATATACTTTTTTTGTGTGTACAAATGTTGCCCTATAATACAACATAAAAGATGACCCTTTGCAGAAACCATATCTCATGTATTGGAACTGATATATGTAAAGTATTATAATAAAGAATAAAAAAAAAAAAATAGTAAAATTTTAAATTTAATACAAAAACTTATATTAAGGCCAATGTGTAGTCTATTAGTATATTATTTAATAACAATAACATAAGTACAATAGTCAAGTGCAAATACATCGAATTTCTAATAATTCTGTATCGTCTCAAGTTAATTATATAAAAATTTCTTTAAAAATATTTATTCTGAATTAATATACACTTTTTCTATTTATTATAGTCACATAGGTACTAAACAACCCTTTCTTTTCATCTTCCACTATGATCAAAATGTGACCCTAAATTATGAAAATTGAACTATGACAATTCATTTGTAAAATAAAATACTGATACCAAATAAGTAAATAATAGATCCTTTCGAACGATACCCAAGACCTATGCTCCAGCATGTCATTATTTGAGTTCTAACTTAACTTATTCTTTTTTTCGATAATCATGAATAGTGAAAATTCACTAGTTAAAAAATTCAAAAACAATCGTCTTAAAGCTATAAAAAAAATAAGCCAAGCTAAAGAGAACCATTACAAGCCAAAATAGATTTTTTGCTTCCTTTGAAATACCAAATTTTGACTTCTGTAAAGTTAGAACTTCAAAGTTCTAATTGTGGCAAATGTAGAAAAAGATTACAAATGGTTACTTTAGTAGTAAATAATCCTGGTATTTTTTTTTTATTATTGAAATAAAAATGCATAAAATATCCATATAACTACCTAAATTATAAGTGTTTGTATATTATTACATTTTTGTGTTTTTTATAATACAATAAATTCAATGAAAAACATATATAACATTGTTTATTAAATGTCCTCAGTATAAAAAACATACCTACTATACAATATTTTGTAACAATAAGTTAATACGTGACTACATAGGTACTAATAAAAGGCTATTTATTTTCCAGAACATTAGTAATCTTAATATTCACAGAATACAATATGAACAGAATTGGAAATTATGCACTTACTGTGTGCATAAATGTAGCAATAATAAAAAGTCTTTTGTTTGTTATCATCTATAACTTCTAAATGCATCTAAGTATATGAAAACTATATATTGAGATTCTATTTACATCACATGATTAAAGCCACTGGCATTAGTAATACTAAGTTATTGAATAAATGCATTATAATATAGAAGTTTAGTAATATTGCATGGTAGGTAGGTGGTTACAAATTATAGGAAAAATATTTGGATACATCATACTATTAGTTGCAATCTTTAATTTACTTAGTTAAATTTATAATAAAAATAAAATATTATTACAATGGTCATTACACTACAACAAAATTTAAAAATAAGTATTTAGTGATATATATATCACAGGTATACTTATTTACGAAAAATGGACGGAATATGAATTTTCTTATAATCTATATTAGTTTACTTAGTATAACTAATTTTATCTCTCTCTAATGAAGTGTATATAACCTGGCAGTTTTAAAATAAACATGATAAAAATACTATTCCAGTAATTATACTCAGTATTGGTTTTATAGATGTGCTGCCACTCTGAAATAAAATAAAATCAAATAAGTATATTTTTTACAAAATAAAACATACATCAGATTAAAAGCTACACCTTACAAACCACAACTGTAAAACCACATCTACAACCATGAACAAGCATACAGCCATATAAAAATTTCATAATTGTTTTGGCTTCTATTAGTCTTGTAAAGACCCCTGGGTATAATTTTTTCTTAAATATCTCTCATGTCTAGATATGGTATAATTACAATATTATTATAAGAGTAAGAGTTTAGGTATAATTTGGTTTTTCCATTAAACAAGATGTTGAATGGGCTAAAAATAATCTCTTTTCAATATAAGCTATAATGGTGCACATTACAATCAATCCTAGTACAATCCAACTTTATAAAACTCTAATCGATAGTTCAGTAAGTTTGTGGAACATACACAAAACAAGCTCACTGGTATCTTGATAGAAATGGTAAAACAGACATCACAGAATATACTGTTTTGACCTTTGATATTCCTCATGCTAGTTATTCCTGACGGCTATGGTGTCATGCTTCCATAGCCTTTATTACTGTTATGCAAATACAGACAGTACAATGCAAAAACATAAGTAAGACAGATATACATTAGCAAACATTTTTTTACAAGTCAGCCTAGTATTTACAGACTATCAACCAAGAATTAAAAATAGTCCTGACTAAAATTCTGATTGCTAGTTGATGCTTTATCATCATCATCATATCAGTCATTAGACTCTCCCATACAATGCCATAACACCTGCATGATTGTTTGATGATTTATACAACAATGATTTTGTTATAATAACAATATAAGATTTTAATTTTAGATATTAATAATAGTATTTCAGAATTAACACAGTTATCTATGTTATTATTTTTAATTGCAATAAAGAATATGAGATAACTTACAATAATGTAATAATTGCAACGATCACCTTGACAACAATCAGAACACACCCAATCTTGGTACCAAATATGTGTACACAGCGGCATATAGTGATGTCTGGTGGTTGCACATTCAGTTTTGTTGGAACATCTTTTGGACACATAGTACTGTTTCTTAGCACCTTGGGACCAGTATGGAGTACTGCCCCATTTGATTTCAGTCAAACAAACATCTTGGTTGTATTCACATGTCTTTATAGTTTTTACACATTTCTCATTATTATCTTCTTGATTTTCACAAACGTAACATTCTAGGCCAAAAACTAAAAAAAGAAACAATGCTTTTATTGAAGTTTTTACACAAATTAAATATAATTCAGAAAAATATTTACTAACCTCTTGCGAAAGAGAATAGAGCTATTAGAGACACAATACTTAAACAGTAATTAAACATGATGTATTACATCTATATATTAATTTATACACACAAAAAGATAATAAATAACGGTTTTTTTATCGATAAAAAATTTAGAAAAACAATTCAAGAGTCGTTAGTATCTAATTTGACATAATTGATCGTATTGTTTTTTGTCACAAGAAAGAAAACATTATATCCAATAAAAAAATCTTCTATAAAATCTATGCAATCATCTGTACGCAACATCAAAATAAATATAAAAACCTATTGTACCGATTGTCGTATCGTAGGTATTTTATAAAAAAACAAATTATGATTTCATTATTTACAGAAAAAGTCTTCATTCTTTCATTCATGTTTCTTTTATTAATTTATTAGTAACCTTTTGGGGTCTTCATCACTCTACTATTTGTCATTAATAATATTTTAATGCCATAGTATAATAATACAATATTTTAAAAATTAAATATGCACTGTATTAAAAAGTTACTAATAAATTAATTTAAATAATTTAAAATTTTCTTAATAATTTTTATAAATCTTCGTACTGGTCTAGGTTACGAAGATAGATGTAATTTATAAAATAAAGTTGTTATACTAAACAATAAACTAATATGGATATTTTTAGTTTATCACATTAATGATATTTATTGTATTGTCTTTAAATGGTTATGCAGAATATATTTTCAAGTTTTATAATTATAAGCGTAGTGTCAAAGCTTCAAACATTGTACTTTTGTGGTATTTTTATTGTCATTGCTCAACGGCCTCGCCTTTTTTATTAAATAGACTGATAGTATAGTAGACTATAATCACAAATACTATCCTTAATCTATGGATTGCGATAGGATTAAAAATTTTAGACAGTGTGAATTCATCATTATGGTTTATAATTATTTACAAAACAGAGTTTACTGCAAATAAATTAATACTATTATTTAACTTCCTACCTTTTTCATAATAAAATCAAATTATATCTATAACTAATATCAAAATCTTTACCGCTCCTTTTTAATATTCCGTCTCATTTCCTGTTTATTAGTGACATAATGAGCAACACTAGCCTTTTGTTAATATTTATTTTGGTTAATTGAATTACTAAATATTTCAACTTTATAGGTATCAAATATTATCTTATTCAATAGGTGTTGTGGTTTGTGATACAATCAAAGACTAAGAATATGGAATTACATAGAAGGAATGATAAAATAAAAACTGTAAATCATATGGTGCCTCCTTTCTTCTTACGCAAATATAATTAGTAAAAAGAAGACGAAAGATACACCATTAATCGCTATTTTTTCTATTCATAGCAGGCTAGTGAATAAAAAATGATATATGGCCTAATAACCGTACCGAATCAGATGCAATTGACAACAAATTGTTTGCATATTTAAACTGTGTCGAATATATAATCTAGTAATGTAAATAAACAAAAATTTTACATACACATTTTCTATGTCCTTTCGATCTTTCGTCCTTATTTACTAATTATATTTGCATAAGAAGAAAGGAAGCAACCATATGATTTAGTTTTTATTTTATCATTCCTTCTATGTAATTCCTTGTTCTTAGCGAAGACCTCTGTCAAAGGAAGAATATTCTATTTTAGCTTAAGAATAAGGAATTAGCGAAATCGTTGTCTTTAGCTAGCCTCCCATATCATGTAGTGATTTTTTGCTCTGTGGTCTCTCTAATCTGTGCTCTACACTGACAGCCAATAAAGTGACATTTTTTATCCAACAAGACAAAAATACAAAACATTTATTTTATTTTAGATCAAATTTCAGTTTTTATCTATTATAACTGCAACTAATCTAATTTTAATTTGTTATACAAAGTTAATATTTAATGGAAGGGATTTTATGGAAATGGACGAATTATTGGAATGGTACTTGATAATTAATAAGCCATAATCTACTTTTGTTTTATGTTTAATAATAATAAAATTAAATAATTGCTGCAGGTTGGCAAACCAGATGGTTTATACTCGAAAACGGTATTTTGTCATATTATAAATCTCAAGAAGAAGTAAATCAAGGATGTAAAGGTTCAGTAAAAGTATCTGTGTGTCAAATAAATGGTAAGTTTTTATTATAAATAAACATTTTTATTAGAGGATGGTTTTATAGAAAGCCCGCTACTGGATATGTATACCTTTGTCTCATTTATTTGCATTTAAATAAATTATTTGCTGATATATTGAAGATGTTTATGTCATAATGGTTAAAATTTGTGACAATCATAATATTTATTTGTGAACTTGAACAACAAATATGGCTTGTATACCTTTCAGAACAGTCTTGTGTATTATGACGTTAATAAAATTTGATTTAATATTATATGTATTTAATTTTCAGTAAATAATATTGATAACAGTCGTCTTGATCTTGTGATACCTGGACAACAGCACATGTATCTGAGAGCACCTTCACCCCAAGACAGACAGAAATGGCTTGTTGCATTAGGAAGTGCCAAAGCTTGTGTGGACTTTAAAGAATCAAAAGGTTTATTGTATTTCATGTTAATTTAAAATTATTTTATAATATCAATAAATATACTTCAAACTTAGATGTTGCAGTAATGTCAAGTAAAGAAATACTCAATGAGTTACTGAAATTTTAACAGTGGACAGCAAAATTGTAAAATAATGATTTTAGTTAACGATTAGAAAAAATTTTCTAGGTATAGGTACTCTTCCTATAAACCGACAATAATGTAAACATATTTATGTATAGAATTTAACTGTGAACTAAATTAAAATAATATTCATCATCATGTCATCCATTAATTATCCAGTGCTGAACATAGACATACCCCATGCAGTAAGCAGGTCTGCAACTGCAGTTTGGTGATGTTTTAAGAGGGATGCTGCTGTCCATTGCTTGACAATTAAGTTATGACACTTACAGGAATGCAAAAATAATAATATTAATTTTTAATTTTTTTTATGTTCACAGTTAACATTTATTCATTAAATATGATTGTATATAAAACACATATGTAATTTCAATAATATTTATAAAATTAAAAAGAAGTACAAGTAATTAAGTCTGTGTGAAATTTAAAGTTTAGACATTTGTTATTCTTTTAAATTCGTATTTGCTCTTATGAATTAGTTAAAATTAATTCTTGATAGAAATTAATGACATAATTTTAATTTAGTGTGGTGACTTTGGGAACATTGAATATTATTCTTATCATTAATCTATTTTTCATGTTTCCTTTATTCTATGATAACCCAATAAATCCAATTATCATTACAGCTATTACAACAACTTCTTTGGAAGATACTACATCATTAGGCCATAAGAAGTCAGAGCTGCGACTGTACTGTGATCTTCTGATGCAGCAAGTACATGATGTAAAAAATGCAGCCACTGCTCAAGATGGGCCCGAGTTACAGGTATATTTTTCTGAGTAAATTTTACATTCCAAATGGGCAGTAATATAATAAAAATTACTTCTGACAGACCTATTCAACTCAAGAATATGTTATGACATAGATATTTTTTTCTTTCAGAAAATTGAAGATGCTTCTAGTCTTTTAACAGCAACATGTGATACCTTTATCAGAACTCTGGAAGATATAATGCGACTGTCAAGCACAACTGGAATAAATTCTGTACCATTTGAAATGCCATTACCTAATATACCCAAGAATTGTACTACTAAAATGCAAGGCGTCAAAACAGCAAGACAAAGTTTAAGTAGATCTTTATCACAGGAAAATAGATGAAATAACATTTATTAGTTTGGTGTTTGTGCTAAATCTAAATTAGTTATCTTTTGTTCACATTGTAACCTGTATATACACATAGTGTAAAAAATAATATATTTCTAGACTTCTAAATTTCTAGTTGTGTAAAGTTATTCAGTAGATGAATGGCAATTCTATTATTATAAGAATGTGATTGTTTATATCTGTGGTATTTGTTCCTAATTGTGTCAGGTATTGAAGGCAGCATTAATGTATTTAACTTTTATTATTATATAAAATACAATATGTAATATTAAATTTAATATTTCTTCATCATATCTATTTTGAAGATCTGATCAATTCACATATTAAACAACATTGAAAATGTATCATTCCTTCTGAAGTATTATCAATTTAATTATATTAAAATATATTGTATTATTTTAATAAAAATAAATAAAAATTTCAATAAGTGCAATTTATTTTTATTTAAGTTTATAGTTAATATTATTGTAAAAACAATAGTTGTAATTATACAGAAACTATTTGCAAAATTACTAATGTATTTTCAATAACTCACCAAATTGGTGCACCAAATCTTAAAACATTCTTTTCTTGAGTGTCAAGTTCCATTCCCATTTTTTTTCTCATGTAAAATATAGTACAATCTCTATTTGTGCATAGCACTTCTTCATGTAAACTTCCTTGGCATCTTTGGCACTCAGTCCAAAGTCTTGAAAATTTTTCTTGTAATTGTCTTAATTTAAAAACTTCTGTTATATACAACTGACCTTCTTTTTCCAAACAGTGATCACATAAAGCTTTTTTTGTATCATTTGGCATTACAGCTTTGCATCCAATACATTTTTCTTTTTTCTTTGTGAATGCAGCAAGAGCACCAACTTTGGATGTTACCATTGCTTTAGTTCTGGTATGTTCTCCTTTCAATAGAAGTGACTCTGCCTTCTCACCAAGTATTGGCTCGAAAATTCTTAATAATGGTTTCGCTAATTGGTTTTCCATATAATAGTTAAAGTCAATAGGTACACTATTTTCTAAAACATAAATAGGGTCTTCAGCTTTCATATAAGCTGGTGTGTTTTTTGCTGCACAACATAGAACATAAGGCACTCTATCTCCTAGTTTAGGTGCTGTACCTGGATCGCGTTTCTTCATTTTGTTTGCTAGTTCTACATGGGCTTGTTTAGCTGCATAGTCATTTTTTGTTAGTTCTTTTGTAATAACAAGTTGAGAAATATCAATGCGATTACATAACAAATCTGATATAATCTGTTTGGCATAGTTAACTGCACCATCTGGATCTCTATCTATAAGCAGCTTTTGAAGACATGTACTCATCATGTTAGAAACTAATGGACAATTGTCTCGCCGGACCGTTTCAATACCTTTGCAATCCATCTTATCGTATTTTTCTGGTCTTGTAAAATAAAGACCAGCATATCTTTTTTTGTTTATAAGTAAATAGGGATAATATACTTTTTCAAATTCTAATTTAATAGGTTTAACAAATTTTGATGAAACATATTCTGCAGCATCTTTACCCAATTCCATACTCTCTTCTAAAGTTTTCACTCCAAACTTCACCATGACGGAATCAGTATCTCCATAAATGACAACAGCATCTTCTTTGTATCCATTAGCTTTTGTATATTTTTTCTCAACTTCAGTTTTGGTGAATTCTATCATAGTGCGCCCATAAGCTGTGACACTACCAGATATTTCAAGACAAGGTAATTTTCCTACTTGTGCTCCTGTAAAACCATATACAGAATTAGCACTAATTTTTAGTGCTAGTTGTCGACCATCCAAGACTGACCTTTTGAATGGATCTTTTTCTTCTTTTAAATCTGCTTTTGCTTTTTTTCTAGCTGCTAATAATGATTCCAAAATTTCAGGTAACAGACCCTTTCTAACATTTGCTTTGACAAACATATTTTTAGATGGTGTTACAGTTACATCGTTAGCATTCATTTCTTTTTGCATAGATGGTGGTACTAAAGTAGTATAACATAAATTATGAGCCATCATAATGCTTGGATATAAAGAAGCAAAATCTAAGGTTGATATAGGGTCTGCATAATATCCTTTTTTTGGTTCAATAACAGTTGCCCCTTCAAACTGATCATCAGATCCTTTCCTTGATAGGCTGGCATTAAATATCCTGCATCTTTTGCTTTTCTTAATAATTGACTTACTACTTTAATTTGTTGCCCTCTAGTAAGCAGACTTAACAAAGAAACTCCTGTCACTCTTGCCATTTCCATATAATTTATAATGCACATTAATTTATTAAGTAATTTTAAGGGCAAATATGCATCTTTAAGACAATACATAGCCAATCTTCTTCTAGTTTGCTCATTTTCATTTTGTAAATCACTAATAATACTGTGATGAACATCTTCTTTTTGTTCTTGCAGAAAATGATAGCTTACAGCATTTAATGTGTATGATCGAAGTTTATATTCTCGCACAAGAAAAAGTAGTAAGTCAAAGGGTACTCTGCCTTCAAAATTTATACTTTTATTTTCTCTACGACCCATTTGTTTTGATTGTAATACAACATCTTTAATAACAGATCTTATATTTTTTATTCGCCCCAAATAATCAAAATTAACAACTTTCAAATGTTTTGCTCTATTTATTAGATATGGCCAATCAAAGTTACTAATATTATAGCCAGTTATAATGTCAGGATCTAATTCACGAAAGAAGTCTGCCCACTTAGCAAGCATTTCTGATTCAGACTGAAAACTGAGTACTTGTGATCCTACTATTGGAGCACATGTATTTAATGTGAATACATTTCTAAGATAAGGTTCCTTTTCACCCTGCCTAATAACCATTGATGCAATTTGTATGACAGGGTCATGATCGGGCTCTGGAAATACACCCTTTCTGCCAGCACATTCAATATCAAAACTTAATATTCGGATTGGAGCGACTTTAGACCATTCTCCTTCAGGTGGATGTGTAATAAATTTATTCCATGCAACATCTACCTCTATTTGACATCTAGATTCCGGTTTCATGGCAGTATTCTTTGACCTAAGCAACCATTTACCAACAGGCAATTCAATCCAGCTGCAGCCAACTACAGTAGTATCTACCATAAATCTTATATCAAAATCTATATTTGTTTCATAAAAAGAGGGATCCATCAATCCAAATGATGTGGGCTGATTTTCAATAAGCCTTTTCGAAGCTGCTATTAGTTTTGGCAAAGCCACAGAAATTTTCACAAATGTCATATCATTATCTCCTTTATAATACATAATTGAACGAGCTTTTACAAGTCTTACATCTAATACTGGCTCTTTTATATTGTCTTTATTAGATCGTGAATCTTCTAATAACGATTTACTTAAATTTAGTTTTAGTTCATTACATGAAGATTCAGTAAAATTTATAGGAACAGTGACATAAAAATATGGAGTAAATCCATGAACATGACAACAAACTGAATTTCCTTCCATTGTTATTCCATACATTCTCATGATAGGGACAGGCCCCAATTGTGATCCAGGCATACCTTGAACTGGTTGACCATGGTAGTTATCTATGTCTAGCTGTTGAAAAATTAATTTATCATTTTTTGGGTCCAAATCAGGTGGTGAAGGTCGAGACCATTTCATGTTTGTTGTTTCATTTTCTGGTCCCTCGCCGAAATATTCTTGTGAGTCAAATTCACATTCCATTCCAGCCAGTTCTTCTTCAAAACTACATGGCTTATCATTATCTTCGTCATCATCACGAGACTTAAATCTCTTTGGTGTAGGACCTTTCGATTTGTTTCTTTTGTCCATTATGTATTGAAACAATAAAAGTAAAAATAAAACTCTCTGGTTGATAACAACGTTTCCCGCCAAATGTCTGGAATTATAGAGAAAAGGATTTACAAAATATTTAATGCTTTTTGTTACGTTCAAATGAAAACTAAATAATTTACCTGATATTTTTTTATAAAACAGTATGAAGAAATGGTTAAAAACTTAAAAAATTCAAGATAATCTATTTTAAAATAATAAGTTAAATCGTAAGAGACAGAATTAAAAGATTTTAAAATGTCAAATGAACAGTATTGCCAAAATCAAGTAGTAAAAAATTACATTAGACTGTTTAAAAAGTACCCTCTTTTCCCTTTAGTAAAGCATTGTCATAATTGTCAAAGAAACGCAATTTTATTAATATTTAAATCTAAATAATCATTTACCTTCATTTTTCACATATTGATCACTCATTTATATTAATTAATGTAAATTTATTAATTATAATGACTTTTTAATGTAATTTATAATATTAAGTGACATGTAAAAAAAAAAGAAAAATATAGTAGCTGAGGTTGAAAAATAAATACAACAGTGCATTCTCTTTTTCAGTCCCAAATTCGATTACCCGTCGAGCTAAATTAGAAATTTTAAACTTAAATTAGTTGAGCTTGTAATGTTAAAAGGCGTTGTTTCTACTTATAGTATACAATAGCGTAGTACCAATAAAAAAAGGTAAGATGAGTATGAAGTTAGTTCGTTCTCATAAAAAATATTGCTAATAGGAAACATTTTATTGAAAAAAGTGTAACTTTAAGGAAATCCAAACACTGGTTAATTAATAAGATTATTTTGTTTAATTCCGCTACCATTGCTTGTGATTACCAACACATCATAACTGTATTATTTATCAATCTCTGACTGTTATTTAGTTATGCACAGGATTACAGCGATAGAATCAAAAGTGACGCAAAATGTTATAAAAACAATGTACTGGCAATACTGCAATAGAATATTTTTTTTATGATACGTTTAGGCGAAAGAATTTTGATCACACAGTTGTACGTTATTTGACATCTATGTACTATTTTTCATCTAAGCACAAAATTTCTAGGGTCGATTCTGAGGTGCCAATTCTCTAAACTGTCTCCTCACCTAATATTTTTATTTGACAGTTTCGTGAAATTATTACTTTATTTGAGACTAAAGTTTTAATAATTTTGATTAAATAATTCATCTCAAAATGTTCTTTAGATTAAATGACACCTCAGAATTAATCCCATTGAATAGTTTCTTTTTTCCTAAAAAGATAGTATATTCTAAAAATGTTTTTATTCTCTAATCAATCAAGTGCGTAGATAATTTTATGCTAAAATCAGCGTGATTGATTATCAAACAGTTTATTAATTCCGTTGACGGTTTACCGACTGTGACATATCACAGAGCAAGTAATCACTACGGTGACATATAAATACAATTAAGTATATAGTACGATTGCTTCGAAATTGTTAAATAGATTAATTGCATTTTTTTTGTCATAAACAGCGTTCATTTGCGATAAAAGAGAAACTGATTTTATAATAATAGAAATTCTAAGTTCCCAATTCGCTTAACAGAGGCAGCACAATAACTATTGTGCTGTAACGACATATGTTATAATTAAATTAATACAGAATTATGTTTGAGAACGATTGTCCTGCAATTTTTTATTATTTCGATCTTGTTATTACTATACTCTGTTATTTGATTACAACGTAAACTAAAAAAAATATGGACACTGTTTAGATTTATTTAGTAATCAATGTAGTAAATTTTCATTAAATTATTCTTTTATAATTATGGTGTCGTGCAAATTGCTAAGTTATTATTATTACAGAAAAATAGATGTTTAATATTAAAACGACCACTATAAATGTTGATATAATAGGTAATTATTTAACTTATTGTTTAGATAACAATTTATAACAAAATTGTTGAATAGGTGCTTCCATAGATATTACTAATATAATTGATTTGTTTTTACAAAGATCTCACTTTTTGTAGTTGAATAATTACGTTGCAGAGTTTGTTTTTTTGTTGCATTATGTTTTTGATGTGATAATTGTTTATGATTACCTATTAATTTGATTCTTAATGTATAATTGATACTATTAATACCCAAGAGATGGCACTATAACTGGTTTTTGTTTCGTCAATATATATATTATATCGAAAAAATATATATTATAATAAATTTCGAAATTTTAAAATAATAAATGTGTTACAAATTAAAAACAATTGTAAAGTTGAAAAAAAAAAGTTTTTATGTAATATTATTTATGGCATATATAAGAACGATTATTATTTTAAAAATTTTTGATTTCGCGCCATTACACATGTTTTTTCGTGTTTATTATCAAATTATAATATGGAATGGGATGTTAAAGAAAATAGGATTGCAATGATCGCTTTGCACAAAGTGGGTATGGAGCCGTCGGTCATATTCCAGACACTTTGAAAGCTTGATATTAGCCATTTGTTCGTACAGTAAAAGCTCTTTATTCGCGGAATATACATACGTTCCGTAGGATTTTATGGAGTGGGATCTATAGTGAAGAAGTATCTCTAAAAGTGTATCGTAAGTTATATTAACTTATCAGAATGAGTGGTTAAACTAAAATTAAATATAAATAGACTCAATGTAGATATTATTCAAGTCTATTCATACACAAACTCAGCAAGAGAGCTTTAAGTATATCAGGAAAAAATATAATAGTTATGGGTGATTTTAACACCAAACGTCAATCTAAGCCTAAGAAATATTTAATAACGAAAAGTCATGGTTATGGAATATGAAATTGTAGAGGTGAATGGCTTGTCGATTTCGCAAATAAAAACAAACTTAGCATAATTAACACATTCTTTAAGAAGCCTATAAACCAAAATTGGATGTGAAGGTCACCGGATGGTGTAAAAAAACGAACTTGATTATATTCTAACTAGTATATGATTTGAATAAAATATAAAAATAAATGTATTAAATAAAATAATATACTGGTAATTGCATTAAAGTTTTAAAAATAATTTTAAATATTTTAAACATAAAAAAGTTATAAATATTGTAATAATAATAAATATACAATCTATATTGGTTATGCTCAGGAAAATTATAATAATATTTTATTTTAAATAAATATTAATTACAATTTATGTATAAAATATCATCTATAAATAATATAATATTGTAAGAATAAAATAACGAGCATTACTTAAATATATATAAAACAAATGTAAACTTAGAAAACTTTAAATAGAAAATATTTATGTTGCAAGAATTAAAGGGCTTTTTTTTATTATTAGCCGTTAATTGTCTATAAGTAAACATAGGCCTCCTCCATAGATAGCTATAAGGACAGTTTTGAAGCCACCTGCATTAAGTATCTTCTTACAGCACGTTTCAAGTCGTCACTTTATTTAGAGTGACTGTTTCACTCGAGAATTTTTCTTCCTCATCAGTTGTTGACTATTCGAACGATATATGTTATTATAATCAGCTTATTGCGACTGCAATTTTATACCTCTTACAAACATTTTCAATTAGGTATCTACCATACGTGTATTTATAGGGAATATTGGTAGGCCGTGCCTACCTAAAAAAATTTCTTTTTTTTTAATGAGTGATAATAGAATTGAAGTTTGCGGTACCAGTGTGAGATAATAGGCGAGGACGAAAACAGGTCAGTTAGCCCATCGTAATAAATTTTACAAAAACTAACCATGATGATTTCCAGATAACAAAAATGGCATGGAGGTTGACCTGAAATGATATATTGCTAACAATAGGGCTGTTGGATCCTCATTACTAACAATCCATTTTCCTCTAGGATTAGGAGCGAAACTTTTAGCTTAGTAAAGACATGTTTAAGAGTACATTATGTGCCTTCTTTAAGGAATTACTCTCTGGAAAATAATCATAAATACTCCAATGGTGCTCAATAGGGTGAGACGGTATTTCACGCCGGAACACCGCCTGAAACTGTATAAAGCTCAAGTGAGGCCACACATGGAATACTGTTCTCACCTGTGGGCAGGAGCGCCACAGTACCAACTCCTTCCGTTAGACCGCATTCAAAGTCGGGCAGCTCGAATTATTAACGATCGGCGCCTTACTGTCCGACTCGACCCACTGAAACTGCGTAGAGATATTGCATCTTTGTGCATTTTTTACCGAATTTATCTGAAGAATTATTCGGATTGATACCTGCTGCTGATTTTCACATTGTACAACCCTCCATAAACTAAAATTTCATCCCAACCATCTGGACGAGTGGCGGTCCTCCACCGTGCGTTTTTCAAGGCACTTTCTCCCACGCACAACCACTCAAATTCAATCAAAATCAATCAACTTCCAGCAGCAGTATTTCCAAACCGATACGACAACATAACCTTCAAAGAAAAAGCATATTCCTTTTTAAAAGGCCGGCAGTACACCTGCAATGCCGTTGGTGTTGTGGGTGAGCATGGGCGGCGGTAGTCACTTATCATTAGGTGAGCCGCATGCTCGTTTGCCCCCTGTATTGTAAAAAAAAAACAAACTTTAATAGAACAGTACAGTACATACTGTATTAGTAAAAATAGAAATAAATAAAATAATAACAGGGGTAAGCTTTTTGTGAGTCATTGCGAGTTCTATAAAGAGTTACTCTAGAGTTAATATGTCATATAGGTAGTTTAGTGGAGCCACGTCAGTATTCTTCTAGGAAAAAGAGGGAACACATTGTGAACTGACGACAGCTGGCTGAGTTACCCATTACAACGATGAGTCTACGGTCTATTTATAAACTAGACATGACAAATAGTTTTATCGTACACATTCATTCATGACACCTCTGGATAAATGAGGTTAAAAGTTTTTTTATCTTTTAATTTTTAAGTAAATCAGTACGAGTTGTTGTTAGGGTAATTTATATATTGATTAACGCGGGTAAAACCGCAAACTAGACATAGCTAGTTAGGATATAATTTGCAGTTGGAGGAAGTTTACTTATCAGCAATATTGTGGGCATTTGTAAGCATAAGTCTGTGCAAATGATAGACATTTTACACATGACCAAATTTTCCTTTGTGCATTTGCACAATATGTAATAAGGGTAAAGGAAGATTTAAGAAGACGTGGTCTAATTGTGTGATAGGTATAGCCACAATGGGATGAAAACATCTAATCTCAAATAATTAGGATAACGACAGGAAGATGTATTTGCATAACATGTATTTGTTAAATTAGAATATGCTATGCAATGTAATTTTAGGCATCTTAAAATATATGATCAAATAA